TATGTGATTTATATGTATGGATTCATCCAAGGTGAATTCATCTTGTAATGCTAGCTATTTCTACATCTTCCAGAATATATAAAGCTGAGGTTTGTAACCACTGTTACTGGAATACTTGAATAATTAAATTTATCTACTTGAAATCAAGGCAGTTTTTCCTCCGAAAATCTTTAAATTAGTAATTTTTGAGGTCCAGGAAGAAAATATGCATAGCCACATAAACTAACCTAGTTTTCTGGAGATCAAGATTACTTTAACTCTGTCCTCCATCACATACAAAAGCTATATTATTGATGAGATATGTTAAGGCATGAACTTTGAGTTAATGTTTTTTGATTTCTTATAATAGATGGATTTTTTTTAAGATTTATTTATTCATTTGACAGAGAGAGAGAGAGAGCATGAGTGGGCAGCAGGAGGGAGAGAGAGAATCCCAAACAGACCCCATGCTGAGCACAGAACCCAACATGGGGCTCTATTTCATGATCCTGAGATCATGACCTGAGCGGAAATCAAGAGTCGGACACTTAACAGAACTGTGCTACCCAGGTGCCCTGTAATGGATGGATTTATATCAGTTTATCCACATTCACTTATTTAGTTGCTTTTTTGACAAATATGGATTTCCATATGATTGGGCAACAGTCTGGATGTATCTATGAAATAAATGAAGAAATAATAAATGAAGAAATTAAGATTGATCCTCAATTCTTATCTTCTTTAAAGGTATGAAAAACAATGCAAATGCCCTAGGATCAAGACTTTTCTCATCATTGATCTGTTCCTGGATGAATAGAGAAATTTATTTATTTTTTTTTCTTAAATATTTTATTATTTGTCAGAGAGAGAGAGAGAGAGAACACAAACAGGGGGAGCAGCAGGCAGAGGGAGAAGTAGACTCCCTGCTGAGCAAGGAGCGCAATGCAGGACTCAATCCCAGGATTCCGGGATCATGACCTAAGCTGAAGGCTGACACTTAACTGAACCACCCAGCCATCCCTAGAGGAGAAATTTAGCAAGAGAAGTAACAGCATGGTGATCTCAGCAATATATACTTTAATCCTTGCCAGGGTTTTTTTGTTTGTTTGTTTATTTGTTTTTTAGATTTTATTTATTTATTTGACAGACAGAGATCACAAGTAGGCAGAGAGAGAGGAGGAAGCAGGCTCCCCGCCAGGCAGAGAGCCTGATGTGGGGCTCCATCCCAGGACCCTGGGATCATATCCAGAGCCAGAGGCAGAGGCTTTAACCCACTGAGCCACCCAGGCGCCCGGCCAGGGTTTTGTTTTGTTTTGTTTTTTTGTCCAATCGTCCCCAGAACAAATTGAAAGTTGAATTTTATTTTTAGGATTCTAAATGTGTCATTCATTACCTGCTAACTTTTTCTGCAGTGTGATGCCTCATAAAGATAAATTCAGATTGGTTACGACATTGTTTCAGGATATAGAGGGATTGTAACATTTTGCTATTCTCGATGCAGACATCCAGGCAAGAAGCAAAGTGGCAGTCCAAGTCTGTGCTGGTGGTTGTGAATGAAATATTTCCATATTGTAGCAAGAATGAGGATAACTTATAAAAGTGGGGTCTACCCATAAATTGTTTGGCAACTCAGATGATTTACCATTATCCTGTGATGCCACCACACAATAATCTGTGAGATAGTCAGGGATATGTAGTGTATTTTGATTCCATTTTAGAGGGTAGAAAATGAAGTGTGAGATTTTGAACCAGTTACTGAAAAGTCATTGAATCCTGTTTCCTAGGTTAATGTATTTTTATTTCTCTACTCCTTCCAGCCTCTCTAAATGATTTCCTCAATAGGTTAATTCTGAAGTTAATATCCCAGGAGATTACAATCCAGTCCCTTGTCTTTCTGAAGAATCAAAGGAAATGGACAGATTTTTAGCCATGAGATTTTTTTACTTTTTAATAAAAATGAAATTGATATTTGAACTACAGACACTTAGGAGTATTCCGACAGGAGGTAGCCTGAGTCTAATGGGTCCTAGGTTCTTAGTACAAGTTCCTCCTTCTCCTGTGTTTAAGTTTTACTAAGTTCTGACTACTTTTCACTTTTCTTGAAAACGAGAAAAAGTTACTTCTCTCATTCAGAGACTCTTGCTGTACAGCTGTTTCGGTTCCAAAGGAATGTTACCTATTGTGACAAGTGAAACTAATGTCAGGCAAATTTTCCATAGGTTTTAAATCATGTTTTATATTTGTTTTGTAATCTTCAGTTAAAAATAGTCAGTTGGAAAATCTAGAAGGCTGGAAAGATGAATTTACAGAATGGGCATTATTTCCCAAATTGGCTTTTGGAGGTTGTCTTTTTATACTAGAAGTAGCAAGGGCCAGATTACAGTAGTGCCTAAAGCCAGCCTGTTCCAACAGGCTTCATCTTCCTTTGTACAAATTTAGAAAGAATGGATCCTCACGCAAGCATTTCAAATCCAGAGACAAATTTGAAAAAAATTGCTACAACATGTTGACTGATTTCTTGCCAAGTCAGCCACTGAGAACTTGTACTTGACCAACTCTTACCAAGAGAAAATTAAAGGGGAGGGGGGGTGAAGCACATAACTTTGTTATTAAAAAATTAAAACTCACAATACCTGAAATCCGCCTCCCTCTTAACTTTTTTCTGTGCTTCTTTTAACCCCGTTCTTTTCTTCACTCTTCTCTTCCTCTCCTGCCTTTCCCTTCTCCCTTTCTTCTAATCATTCTCTGCAATATACGCTGTTGCTTTAATGTATTCATTTTTACTTTGAGTATTGATTCAGTGATATGTTCTGAAGAAACAGCTTTCAAAAGATTGTATTCCGATACACAGATTCTAACCAGCAGAAAGGTTAAGAACATTTAAAAAATATGCATGTCAGCAGTGGAAAGAAAGCTGTTTGTAGCCAGCAGGTGAGCTGGAGAGTACTACCGGGTGTGGTAGAGATAGTAATAAATTAACTGGCAAGCCAAAAACTATAAAAAAAAAAAAATCAGCCATTTCATAGCATAGAAGCATGACAGCTATGAAAAAAGGAGTGCCCCAGGGAATTCTTTTAGAGTTTGATTTTTTTAAATATGTTTGACATGAAAAATGTTTTAGTACAAATAAAGCAACTGGTATTAAACTTACAGGGAGGGGGGTTGTGGTTTAGAGTTAGTATGAATAATGCATGATATTTAAAGAAAGAACAGCTCTAAAATGTTCCGGGAGGCAGTCCATGTTGATGGTTGGAATGGTGATTTTTTTCCCCTATTTTTGAAGCATCATTAATTCAGTATCGTTTTGTGACTTTTTTTAACCTGATAAGATATCAACCAAAGACATACTATTTGACTTGGATTGGGGTATTCTTTCTTTAGATAATTTAGTTTAAATATCAAGAAGATCAGCCGAATTATTTAAGCATAAAGCGACATTTACTATAAAAAATAATTTGGCCTAGTTATCCTTTTTAAAAAGCTCATGTAGCCCTGCAAACCGAAATCAACCTCATGGAAGGGGAAAAACAAGATCAGATATTTTGAACATTACTCCATAGGAGACCAGCACAATCTAGTGTTAGTGAGTGCGTTGTCGCAGTGCTCCGTATGCAATCAGAAGCCAATTGTTACTGGACTGTGTGCAAGCACACACTGTGCTCAATGGTCTGATGAGGTATTATGGATATGATGCAAAGAGACTGTGTCGATTAGAAGCTAACAATTTGTTAAAAGTGAAAGCAACTTAACATTTACATTGGGCCAGCTGAGGCGCCCTTGATGTGGCAAGCCGGATGAGCTCCAAGGAACTGGAGGGTACCACGGAGGCTCCAGGTATTAGTGTCCGCACAGAAAAAAAAAGAGATTTTACTGCTTTCCAATTGACTACCTTTATTGCTGTGATTCTTTCTACACTGTCTCTTCATTATTACATTCAGCTTTCAGTGTGGAAAAGTTCATGCAAAACAGCATGATTATTATAAATGTCAAAAATGTGTGGAGGAACAGCCTATTAAAATATAGCCTAGAGATAGTACATAACACCGACTTTAAATAAGTAGCTGCAGCCAAAGTGATACTCCATTAAATCACTGATATTGTGTAATTTATCCACGAGTACTAATTTTGATTTCCGTCACCACTATCACAATATGTTCCTCATGACTTTCTCTTGGATCTTCATGTCACCGCACGCGGCCTGTGTTCTCAGGTCACAGAACGTTCTCCGTTCCCATGTTTCGTCGTGGTATGGAGGCAGACGTGAGGATACAGCATCGATCTCTGCTGAAGCATGCTCAGTCTCTATCAGACGTTTGATGCAGCAGATATCCCGTGTAATATGTGTGACTGTTGAACCAAATCATTCAAAGAATAAGTGGGAAGCACCTCGTGTGCCTGATTCTCTCCTAGGTTCCACCAGAAGTTAATCCAGAAAACTATGGTTTCCACTCTGGTGGAGATACCAGGCATTTCCCAGAATGTTGGCAGATAAGATTAGCTCCCTTCTCGCCCCTATCAAATTGAAGAGGTTGCATTTTTAAAATTTTTTCTTTGTTTTTTATAAAAGAAAGTTTAGGGTTATGGACAGTCAATAGCTCATAATCTTTTTGGACTCTAATACTCTGCTTTGCCTACCAAGCCAAAACTTTTTTGTTGTTCCAACATAAAAACCTTAATACTTTCTCAGTGAACTGAGTGTCAGCCTGGCTTTAAGATATTTTTTTTACTCTTAAAAAAATGATGTATTACAAGATTTGTAATGGAGTGAACATGCTTGAATTGCACATTTAATTTTTTTAACATCACATTCATGTTTTGCCAGTTTGCCTACCAGCTATCTGTTAACAAAAAGTTCCAAGGCAGCACTGCAAGTCTGTGCCCAACTAAGCCTTTTGTTTCTGCAGATGTTTGGGCTTCGAGCAATGTTGTAAAGCTCAGGCGATCCAAGGACCATGTTTGTACTTGTCTGCTGTGATTCCCTGTGCATTGTCTAAACCTGTATGCATTGTTCTTTCTGACAGGTGATAACTACCCTGTACAGTTCATTTCATCAACAATGGCAGCTGCTGCTACTTCTGGACTCAGCCCTTTACAGCTCCAGGTAAGTGCCAGAAGAAAAAAATGTGGGATACCAGCCAGTTCTTTAGTGGAAAACTGCTAACCAGCTGTATGCTAAATAATGGCCTGAATGTTAAATAATTTTTAAGCGTAGCCTAGAAGGATTAACACCTTGTGTACTTACCATACTGAAAATAGAAGAGAAAACTGCCAATTTCAGTATTTTTAAAGGAAAAATGGTAGTATGACTTAATACTCTATATTTTCTGTCGGGTGAGTTATTGGTTTTACATTTTTATTGCTGGCTGCTACTATTGGATGTGATCGCTTTTTCCTTATCCCTTTTCCATCCATGTCTCCATTTATGTTCAGATGATCTTTTACACGTGAACATCAAAATAGAAAACAATGTTGGGCATTTTCCTGCTTGCAGCTTATAGACTAGGAGTTGTTATCACCAAATTACCTTAACTGTTTGGTAAAATGTCAATATATTGTTCTGGAATATATGTACCCTCATTCTCATCTTCAGCTTCATGCCATGCCAGAAGTCCAGGCATGGCATCCCACCACATTCTGGATTAGGGTTCTGTACTTATGAGGTGAAAATGAGGGAGAAAGTGTTTTGGAGGCTGGATAAAAGAATCATTTGTACCTTATCTTCTTCATGGTAAAGTGAGAGGTTTATAATAGGACCAGGTGATCTTTATATCCTTCTAGCACTGACATTTTAATGAGAAATTGACTTTTAATATGAATATGTATTTTAACAGAAACAGAAAGATAGTATCATTAAAATAATGGTTAAACCTTCAATATTCAAACAGTTAGAAAATATGTGACAGTGAAGAACTTGAATTTCAACACAGTGGGAAGTTTAAAGATAGTCTTGTATTCTTACAATTTACTGTGATTATTTTTGAGTTTTCTTACAAGGGAATAGCATCTGGCTAGGCATTTTTTTTTTCTTCTTTGCTATTCCCTCTACGGCTTGAATATAAGAAATGTGCAAATATTTTACCATGAAAAAACATCATTGTGAGTCTTTTCAATTGGGGCTGCAAATAAATAATTTTTGCAATACTCTGAGTTTTTGTTATAAGCCTCATCCAGAAAGCTGGGACAATGTTACCCACTATAGACTGCCGAGCACAACTAGACATTTTGCCTAACAGGAGCAGCAACCCTGCCTCTCTTCCAAAACTTCACCTTCCTCTCTGCTAACACTGGAACTCACTGCAGGTGGAAAAATCTAAAAGAAATCTAAAAGAAACCTCCCTCATAATAAACCTAATCTGTGTCTCCTTCTCCGTATTGCTATGCTAGAGTGTCTTCTCGAGTCAGAGCAGAAGTATGAAACCAGTACCATTGCTTGATCCTATAACCAAGTTTCTGTGAAAGACAGTGTCTGGGCGCTCAGCCTTCTACTTTCTATTCTTTGGTGTGGTCAGTACCCTGGATTTAGAAACATATGTTCTGTTTCATGAGTTCTGACAGTATGTTTTGTCTTTTTTTTTTTTTTTCTGAATATGCTACTAAACAGAAGGGTCATGTCTCCCACCCACAAATTAACCCAAGGCTAAAGGGCCTAAGTGACCGTTTTGGCAGGAGTTTGGACACCTTTGAACATGGTGGTGGCCACTCTTACAACCACAAACAGATTGAGGTATGAATGCTTCCATTGGTGCTTCATTGGGTGGGGGACTGGATTATTCAGTCATATTCTAAGCTTTTTTTTTTTTTTTTTCCTTAAAGTGGCAAACATTTGACCTAAACACTAAAATGTGACCTTTCCCTTCTTCTCATTCCTAAGGAGGCTCATTTTTGCTCCTTTTCTTTCATAGAAGGCGGCAAGCCTCAAGCCAATGCCCCTAATGACTTAGATTGTTTAATGCTGTATATTGAGGCAAATTCTTTACAAGGAACCATCTTCAGAACCATCCTTTTCCCTGACTCTCTTTCTCCTTTTGTATATAGTGCTGTATAATGTCTATAAACACATAACATTTTTAAAAAGATCTCATTTGTCCATATAACAACCCTGCAAAGTTGATAAATATAATTCTGCTTATATAGGCAAAACACTGGAGGTTCAGAGAGAACAAGGATGCACAATATTCCTGGAGTCAGAATTAGTACCCAGGATTTCTCACTGTCTGATTCAGGTTTCTGAATTTTGTTTTCTCTGGCTGAGGTAGGGCCCAGTGCCTGGGCCTGACTGGTTGCTTGTTGCCCTGTGAATGTCTATAGTATCCCTTTCATATTTAATGTCCAGTAAAGCTCTTTGTTGTTTTTGTGGGATATTCTTACCACTTGGGAGAAGATAGCTTTTATGGCTCTTTTGAAAACCAAGCCCTTTTCTTCTATAGGGGTCTAGTCCTCATCTCTCTAATTTCATGCTTGATTTCTCTCTCATATCACTGGAGTCCCTCTCCAGGACTATTAGCTACTGAAGGGCTGCCAGTGATCTGCTGAATCACCAAAAAAAAAAAAAAAAAAAAAAAAAAAAAAAAATGGAGACAGGCTACCTCAGACTGAAACATACTTTAATTTTCTGGGTTAGATTTAATACTAAATGTTACGTTCAAACCTAGGATGGGAAACTCAACTTGAAAGAAAGAAGGAAAGAAAGGAAGAAAGAAAAGAAAGAAAGTATTATTATATCAAGCAAAGCTGTATATTCATTCATATCCTAGTGGCTTGGCAGTCTATACGTATCAAATACTGTATAATCAATAGAGTATCCCTCTGATATTATTTCCTACACTGCTTTTGAATCTGTATTTTTGAAAAATAATAGAGAAAACTCAGTCCTAAGAAGAAAAAAGAGGACAAGATCAAAAGCCAGCTTGGAAGTAGCCTAAGGAAGAGTTCAGAGCTTGCTGCCTGCCTCCCTCTTTCCCTGTCACTTTGATATAAGTTATACAGGGGCTTCCCACCCAGACATGACCAGGCATATACTGTCAGAGTATCTACTGTCTTCTAGACAGCAAGAAGGGATTTCTTTTGTAAGGCTTTCTTTTGGCTGCAGAGAAGGTACCGTATTTCTGGACATTTTGAAGATCTGCCATGCCTAGGATTGCTAAAATGTAGAGATAACTGCATGTGAGGGACAACACTTTCTGTGTGATGCCAGTTAGCGAGCTTCCCCACTCAAGACAGATAGTTTGTTAAATGTTTAAGTGCTTGGACGAATGTGAAAGCAGGTGGTCTTGGCTCAGAACCAAGACTCCTCTCTCAGACTTTTATTTTCTCTTGAGGTGTTGAGATCTCTCCCATCCACCTTTTTCCATCGGCAGTTTTCTACCCAATCACTTCTCTGACTAATTTTTCATGTAGCTTGACTTCTCTTCCTGCCACCATCACGGACCCCTGATGCTGCCAAATCTGGCTTCTCTTGGGTTTCTGGAAAGTCTGATGTCATCTCTGGGAGTGCCAGATCTGCATAGTTCTGTAGCAGTGCTGCTGATCTAGAAGCCCCACGTCTGTCACTCACATTAGGATAAAAAGAGAGCCAGTTAGTGAGGGACTCTTCAGATTTTGCATTTTAAGGTTAGGCCCATTTGAAAGTTTCCTGGGTTTTTGTTAATTCTTCCTGTTTCCTTGCTTTCATTTTTTTGCACTTTTTTTTTTTTTTTTTTTTTTTTTGCAAGTCAGGAAACCTTTGCTGTTTGCTTATATGGTACACTGCTTAGAAAAGACCTTGACCTTGTTTGAAAGGCAGGTTTCCCAAACTTTCTTGGTATGAGCATCCGATGTTTATGGGGACGTCTATGGAAAGCACAGTAGACATACAAGTCTGAGCTACTGCAGACACATTTGAAATTGTAAGCAAAAGTAGAGAGAAAATTTAATAATATCTTGCTTTATCAATTTTAAAACCTGCTCTCTTTTCTAATTATTCCCTCCTTTGACAAGCTAAAATGTCACAGCTCTGTTAGCAGTCATGATCATGGTAGACCATTGACACTACAGAAGCATTACAATTATGTTAACTGGTTTTACTTCTAAGCAGAAATTCTTCAGAAGAAAAGCCCACAACACGTACGTGCCTCCATCACCCTACCTCACTACCTTCATCTGCACCTGGCCACATTACTCAGAACTGGTCCTCTTTACCTGATGTTCCAGTTCATTTGTTCCTTGAAGGTTGTGATTTCTCACATTAATGAACCTGGATAAATCTTAACAGCATTAATAGTTCTACCTTGAAAGCCTGAGATTTTGTTATCAAGTAGGAAAAAAAGTTATATAAAGTGCAAAGACCCTTCTTACATTAGTGTACTCCAGTTCTTTCTTTCTTTAAAATAAGCAAGATACAGGAAAGCCTTGTTGCTCTGTGCTGATCTAAGGCATGGTTTTCTCTGCCTCAGGGGCACAATATTAGGAGAGAGAAGGCCAAAGAATGCTATTTTTAGTTGAACAGTTCAGCAGATGGAGGCATGAATACTCATATATCTGAAGGTTGAGGGGCTTGAACCATTAATTTTGATAATGTATTTAACCCTGGGAACAATCAGAAACTGTAACTCTAAGGTTGCAGTGCTTTTGACCTTTAGAGAACAGAGGGCACTTGCTATAGTAAACAATATATTATATTGCTACTTATTCCAATTCTCTACCGTATAAATTTCAGGACCACTTGCCATTTGCTTTCCTCAGCTATGTTAGCATTGGTCCTTCAAGTACATCAGAAAGAATGTTAAGGAAGGGGGACCAGTATAATGAGGCAGTCATGTAAATATGGCCTTGAAATAGCTAAGATGTTAAATTGTTTCTGAAGAAATATTGTCTCAGAAACTAAGCTTGAGTAACTTCTCTCTTTTTTAAATGAAAAAGTAGTTTCAATGTATCAATTCATTTTATGGGGTGACTTTCAATAGATAGATCCCTAAAAGTAATTTTGTTTTGCTTTGTTTTGTTTGTAACTGGGAGTCCTGTTGCTTCATAGATGTAGCTTATATTAAATACAATCTGGTACCATAGCATGCAAAGTGATACACCTGTCTCATGCTTTCTTATTAAATGATGCATGCTTCTCTTTAGCAAATACAGCAGTTAAATATCACACAGCTTAAGAATTTCTAATTAAAATATCTCCGCATGTCAGCATATTGGTAATGTATTATTTTAATCCATTTATTTTGTTTATGAAACAGTGACATATGTTTAGATTGTGAAATATATGAGCCTTAAAAATCACTTTATTGAAGAAAATTAATTCCTACAATACTGTCTCAGTAATGTGTTCACTCACCCAGTCAGTCACTGGCGGCACTGCCAGTCTTAATGTTGGGTAGACACACTTACCAGTTTTATCTGCATAACAGTCTTGGAGAGAAGCAATTGCAGTTCTTTCTCTTAGAGCCAAATGATAGAGTTTTTCTTTCCTTCCTGTTTTTTTTCTTTCACATTAATTCAAACCAGCCCCCCCGCCCCCGCAAAACACTTTTTGTGGCTTTTTTTTTTTTTTTAATACAATGAAGGATGGGACTGAGTTTATGTACAGGAGACTCTGAAAGACCAATCAAAATTAAAAACAAGCTAGTTACCTTTTCAAAGTTAGACATAGTAATTTGTTTGTCAGCAGGGAGATGTTTGGGTCAGCCCTGAGATAAAGTGACTGTCAGCAGTTATTCCTACAAGACAAGTAATTTCACTCAGTGTATTACTGACAGATTGCTCACTTCTCTGAATCACCAGAGAAAACAAACTTAATATTGTTACAGGCAGAGTTTCTGTCTTCATTAGCCTCAGAGAATGATTTTTATCGAGCATTCAAAGCCTACCAAGCTTTAGTTGGAACATATTTTAATAGACAAGTTCTTATAATGATAGTATGGATAGTAACCTAAAATTAAAGGAATTAAATATGAAAATTTTTAGATATCAATATAAGTAGATTTTTACCTTTATTCGATGACCCCTGTGTGTACTTCAGGGGAGATTTGAGGAAAAGGAGTATAATTAGAGTCTTAAAACACTAGGAAAACCTATCAATCATAAGTTACTCTTAAATGAAACTAATAAAGTCTTGCCAAGTTTGCAAAGATGGAGGAGAACAATTGAAATTTTTGCAGAAGTAAATGCAAACACATATTTTATTTAAATGATATTGTCAATTTTCATGCTACAAATGGAAAGTGAAGAAGTACCCATCAACATCGAGAATGTTCTAATTCTATTTCACTTCCAGCCTGAATCTTTATGATGTTGTATTTAGATGCTCTCTGGCTCATACCCTGTTTTCTTGTTTGCAGTTGTAAACATGCCTCAGTGCTGTAGAGGAATGAGAGGGTGAGTTAGGCTTTGCTGGGTAGGCTTGGGAGGTTATCATTTCTAATAGAGAGTTGAATAAAGAGTTGATTAGAGTGACCTATTACTAGCTTTCCAATGGAGAAAAAGGAATGCACTGATTCAAAGCTTTTTTTGAGGATGCCAACCATGGGGCTGTGCTTTGAGGAGAAATGCTTTTTTCCCCTTAATCAGCCTTCTCTTACCCCTGACTTTAAGAGTGAGATGGAACCTGGGAGTACCATTATGACTGGGATTAGACGAGCTGTGGACTAATGAACTCCACTTTGGAATCAGAATCTTCGATTTGAGTTTCCACTGTTACTTGTCATGTTGTCCTATGGTGTTCTCAGATTACCTTTTTTTTTTTTT